GAGTTGTCCTATAGACGTAAGAGTTTAGCTCTGAACTGCACAAACAATTCTGCGTGTCTGGTTCTCTCTCTTTATCTCGCTTTTGTTTTGTTAATCCTTCTGACCCAGATACACTTGCTAATCCAGATTGTTTATTTAACTAAAATTAAGTATGAACCTTTAGGTAATCACTTGCATTCAAGATCAACTATCTTTTCCATATTTTTAGTTATGTTATATACATATATGATATTAAATATATAAATCTTACATATATTAGACTTAAAAGTAAAAATTATATTTATTCAATTTAAACCAAACAAATCTTAAAATATAAAATCTAATAATCACTCAAAATTAAACTTGTGCTTATTTTATAACATTAATCTAAAGAAATAAATTTTAAAAAATAAGTGTTAGTAAACAAGTTTTATAAACAAAACAGGTAATTCACCAAAAAAAAAAAATAAACAAAACAGGTAATAAAAATTGAAAAATTAGAATATAGAAATGTTTTCTCGTTAGTATACGAGCTCTAAACTGTCTACATAATACTAAATAATATACGAGCTCTAAACATATATTAAATAATATTTGGATTACACGCAGTCTACTATTTAAAATGCATAGCAACACTTCTAAATTTATAAATTTATCCCGGAATATTTACCTTGTTATTGAATGACTAGTTTTTTACGCGCATTACGTGATTGAGATAATACTCAATAATTTTTTTTTTTAAATAAGTACTTTAAAGTATATCAAGGCAAGATTATATTGGAATTGTTCAGCATAGATAATTGAATGTTAAATTTGCCTATTTAATTGGGCAATTCTAAGTTTACAAATGCAAGATAATATAGTCAAGATTGATTATAATTGTCAATAAAATAATTGTATAGGTATGGTTGAAACCAAATACGGGACATAAAAGAGAGAGCAAATAAAAATTGGGGCATAAAATATTAAATATATATTAATATTGAAGAGCTAACTGATGATTGCTAAACAAGGACATTTGATTAAAAAATTTGACCGCCATTTTTTCTACCTATTATAGGCCTAACTCTCTTGGGCTCTTATTAGTATAGTAGATAGATATTTAAGTGATTTTTTTTCACTCTTGAATCCTGATGGGTGGACCAATAAAAGAAGAGTATTAATTCGATCTATTTTTAGTTTTAAATTTATAACTGTCAGTTCATTTTTAGTTCATTTTTTTTTTTCAAAACATTCACTTTTAATCTTAATAGAATTGTAGCATGATCATTTTTTGTCATCTATTAACACAAAATTTATGAGCGGTTTTTTGGATTTATTACGAATATTGGGGTTTCTAACAGCTTTGTCGTTGAACTATGGGGTCTAAGGGAGGGTCTACGACTGACAAAAGATAGGGGTTTAAGAAGGGTGATCTTTGAGCTTGACTTCGAATCGGTTGTGGCTGTGATGAGAGGAGAAAAAGATGTTGATAGTTTTCCAACATACTCTGCATGAGGGGGAACAGGTGTGCTGATCACCTGGCCAACATGGGACAGATTGCAGAATGTGGTACTACTTGGTTGGACTTGCCGCCCCGGGCCGGGCCAGAGGGGTGGGCAGGCTAGGCACCTGCCCAGGCCCATCTCTAGAGAGGGGCCCATAAGCCATAAGATATTTATTAGGATTCATATGTATAATGAAATTGTAAATTTATTGGGTTAATTGTTGTGTTGTTGTTTAGGGATCTTAAATTTCTAATTATACCCGTATTGTTGTTTAAGAGAATTAGAAATTTTGTTTGTCTTTTAATTATATTTATTAGGATTCATATGTATAATGAAATTGTGAGTTTATTAGTTTTATTATATGAAGATTTGTTTTATTTTAATTTATTTTATGTATTGAGAAGGATATGCTAAAAGAATATTAATCTTTGATGCAATTAAGATGATTTTATATCAAGTAAAACACGTAGAAATTTATTGTCATGATTATTTTTGTATTTAAAAAATTGTTGAAAATTTTCTAATCTTATTTCATGTTATTTAATATTATCATTTTTTTTTTAGTATTATTAAATTTAAATTTTAAGATTAGTTTTTCATATGGGGCCCTTTTTAAAAATTTCGTCCCGAGCCTATAAAATATTTGGACCGGACTTGTTATCGCCCTCCAACTTAGATTCATTCTTTGCTCGCGGCAGACGCTTTTGGGACTAGCGCCGCTAGAGTTTGGTAACACGTCTTTTCCTGTTGTCAACGGGTCTTGTATCACCCAAAAAAAAAAACAATTTTAATTTTGTTAAATACAAGGATATTTGGATACGAAAAGTACCTAAATAAATAGTTTTTAAAAAAATCAATATAATTCCAATCCATTTCCATGAATCGTGACATAATGTAGCAGCGGTGTTTGGTTTGGTGACATCATCAAAGACGCATAGTAGCTTTGAAGTGTTGGCATGATAACGTGTATATATCATGCAAAGGATGTGAGCGCCCATTGCTATATCGTACACTAGGGTGCACAATGCATTGTGCACCTTAAAATTCTTCTATTTTATATATATGTACATAATTGTATAGTGGAATACATATAAATTTTTAACATAATACATGTAACTTAATATAATATATAATACACATAAACTCTTAATATAATACTTAATACACATAAACTCTTAGGGCGCATAATTGCATTGTACATCCAGGTTCACGGTATAATTTGACTATGAGCACAACTTTGTATGTAAGCGTAAATTAGTACACTACACGCACTGCAACATGTTAGGGCGGGGGAAGGAGTGGGGTAAGTCATTTTTTTTTTTTTTTATGTTTTATTTCTTTTTAATAATTCAAGATTTTCTTATTAATCGGATTAGATTAGAAGTGTAAAGGAGTCAAGCCAAGCTCGAACTCAATAAACAATAAGTAGGTTCGAGTTCGGCTTGAGCTCGAGCTAAGCTTTGATCGAGTTGCTTGACTATAAATAAATAAATAAATAAATAAATAAATATATATATATATATATATATATATATATATATATATATATATATATATATATATATATATATATATATATATATATATATATATATATATATATAGCTCGTGAGCAGCTCAACAAGCCACGAGCCTAAAACATTTGAGCTCGAGCTCGGTTCGAGTTTGAGCCGATATATATATATATATATATATATATATATAGCTCGTGAGCAGCTCAACGAGCCACGAGCCTAAAACATTTAAGCTCGAGCTCGGTTCGAGTTTGAGCCGAACTCAAAGTTGATCAAACTTGAGCCAAGCTTTGACAAATTGGCTCGTGAGCTGCTCTGCTCATTTACACATTTAGACTAGATCCTACACCCCATAAATCCATCTTAGATCTAGACTCAACACCAAATTATACACTTCTGTGTAGGGACAGAGCAACTGTTGAGGCGGGGGCAGCTGCACCAAAGCCCTTTTTTTTTTACTTAACAATTAAACAATTTTTTTTTTTTTATAAATAATTTAAGGTAAGTGCTCCTTTACCCGTAGTGAGTCATGATTTATGTAGTAGAATTAAATAGAAAATGGAAAAGGTTGAAAATAGCCACTCAAAAAAAAAAATTCAAGTAGATATAAAGCCACATATATAATGGTATAGTAGATTTAAACGAAGAGATACTTAGACAAACAAAAGTTGAGATTGCAAAATCAAAAAACAAGCCAGTACTACATAAGGCTTGTGCACCCATATAGACAGACATATATGATCATCTGGACATAGTGCTATTGATATTATTCATTCTTACTACTTACTACTAGCAGATCAGATGAGACATATAGAATACGAGATTCAAATTACTGCATTCATCTTCTTCAGCTTAGCAATCAGACGCCCCCTCACAGTATGCCTAACCATTGCATTATCCACCGCTGCTGCCATGCCTTTCTCTAACAGAACTGCTCGAATATGAGCAGGAAGAGTGGGATCTTCACCTAAGCTGCTGAAATTCTCCAACCTCCTGATAACATCTGATAGCGCATTCGCAGGTGCAGGTAGGGATGTCAATTTAGTGTATTTTAATATAAAATGAAGGTCCACCTTACATTGTGTATTTTAATATAAAATGACATTTAGATTACGTGTTTGTAATTAACAGATTATGTGTCTGTAATTAACAGATTATGTTAACTACAAGTACATAATATGTCATTAACATATTATATATTTGTAGTTAACAAATTATAAGCCTCCAATTTATTTATATGCATATAATTTTAGAGTTCTACTATGCATATGTACTCCCAAATTACTCCCTTACTTTTACTCCCTGAGGTGGCAAACAAGAATTTGTTATTTTCATCATGTGGATCCACAGAAAAAGTGTCTACATCAATAATATGTGAATAAAAGTTGGGAGTATAAAATAAAAATCCACCAAGTATTTTTCTATAATTTATTAACTGAATGCACATAATAGGTTAACTACAAACACTTAATAGGTTATATCATGGGCCAGGGTCCACCTGACATTGTGAATTTTAGTCCAAAATAATTTTCAAATTATGTACATGCAGTTAATAAATATAAATAAATAAATAAATAAATAAATATACATATATATATATATATATATATATATATATATATATATATATATATATATATATATGTATATAATTTGGACAAGGTTTACGATATGTATATAACAATTGAATTTTGACCCATCAGTTTTTGACAATATACATTAATATATATACTCTATTCAATTTGAATTCATTTTATACGTACAATAGGTTCATTATAACGATATTAAAGTATCATTTTAATTTTATTATGATTTATTTGACAATATACATATTTATAACGTGTTACATCATTGGTTCACAGTAACGCCGCTATATTAGATCATGGTTCATTCATACAACCGCATAGATCATGGTCAACATATGATAAGGAGTACAATGTTATTTTAGCCTTTTAGTTATTATATATATAATTTGTTTTGGTCAAATATATATTATTATTATATTAAAAACTTGAAGCACATATACATATATATAGGTGGTGGCTTTGGGAGTGGTTATATTGATCTAGGTGGACTACAAGTGTGCCAAATTTCAAATTTGAAGAAAATATGGAGGAGCTATGAAGGAGGGCCTAACAATGTTGGGGCAACCATTTTTGAGCCTTCTTCAATCCCAGATGGATTTTGCATGCTCGGTTCTTATGCCCAACCCAACAACCAACCCCTCTCCGGTTGGGTTCTCGTCGGAAAAGACAACAATGGCCAAATCCTAAAGCCCCCAACCGATTACACTCTTGTATGGAGCAGTGACTCTTTGCCCATCACCCAATCCGGCCCTGCCTACGTTTGGCTACCAGTTCCACCGCAGGGTTACAGTGCCGTTGGCCATGTCGTCACCACCTCGCCGGAAAAACCCTCCGGCGATAGAATCCGGTGCGTGTTCTCCGCCTTCACCGACCCGTGTGAGCCTGAAGATTGGGTCTGGGGACGAGGCACATCAAATAATGACCCAAATGGTTTCAATCTCTACACTCTGAGGCCTATCAATAGAGGCACACAGGCAAAAGGTGTAAAGGTAGGCATTGACGGAGTCACAGTGGGAACAGTGAGGGAAGTTTGCCCCCACCCCTCACTCCATTTTATTTATATATATTAAGAATAAGGATCAAATAGGCCATTCAATTGTACACAATAATTTAATTAGGCTACTGAACTTAAAAAATTAACAATTGGGTCCCTAAACTAACCAATTTTAAACAATCTTCCAAAAGATGACATGTTGACCTGTTGGAAACCTTTGAAATTGAAAGAATTGTTTGAAATTGGTTAGTTTAGGGACCTAATTGTTGATTTTTTAAGTTCAGTAGCCTAATTGCATTATCTCGTGCAGTTGAATGGCCTATTTGACCCTTATTCCTATATATTATATGTACAGGTCACATATTTAACTTATAAATATTAAATTTACATAAATTTAACTATTAATTTAGATGGTAAGATATCTAGTTTTCTCTGATAAGATTTCTGGCCGGATTCAAGGTAGGAACATTTCTTGGGAGTTTCAGTGGAAACGTGGGAACATTTGCATGTCTGAAAAACAACAACGTAGCATTCTCCTCGTCGGCCATGCCAAACCTTAGCCAAATCGAAGCGTTGTTTAGGGAATATTCTCCGATTTTATACCTGCACCCTCTAGATACCTACCATCCCTCCTCGGTAAACTGGTTTTTCTCCAATGGTGCGTTATTGTACACGAAAGGAGACGAGACTAATCCTGTTCGTATCGGGCCTGATGGCTCCAACCTCCCACAGGGCGGCAGGAATGACGGTGTGTACTGGGTAAACCTAGGGATGTCAATTTAGCCCTGAACCAATGGGCTAGCTCAATAAGCCCAAGAAATTGCAGGGCTAAAATCCAAAAAGATCAATCCAATAAAAATGTAAGCTCATTGGGTTGGCCCTATTGGGTTATTGGATTGAGTTGGGCCAGCTCATGGATTGTTGAGCTGGCCCGTGTAATATCCAATCATTATTGGATGAATATATGGTACATTTTTAATATAATAAATATACATTATTTGTGTATTGAAGGTACATTATTTAATAGTATATATAAAATTATGCACTTTTATACATACACTACACACACACACAATATATATATACACACTGTACACACACACACACTATATATATATATATATATACACACTGTACACACACACTATATATATACACACACTGTACAAACACGCTATATATATATATATATATATATATATATATATATATATATATATATATATATACATACAGACACACTATATTTATATATACAAACACACTATATATATATATATATATATATATATATATATACACAAACACACTGTACACACACACACTATATATATATATATATATATATACACACACACACACACTATATATATATATATATATATATATATATATATATATATATATACACAGACACACTATATTTATATATACAAACACAGACACACTATATATATATATATATATATATATATATATATATATATATACATATATATATATATATACACACACACTGTACACACACACACACTATATATATATATACACACACTATATATATATACACACACACACACACGCTATATATATATATATAGTGTGTGTGTAGTGTGTGTGTATATATATATATATATATATATATATATATATATATATATATATATATATATATATATATATATATATATATATATAGAGAGAGAGAGAGTTATGAACCTACTCTATTTGTAATAAAAATTTTGTTTATTGATTTAGCCCGTTGGATTAGCCCAACAACCCGTTGTTTAGGGTTAGGGTCAACCCAACTCAAAAATAAAAAATAAAAAACTATTTAGTCCAAGCCAACTAGTCCACCAACCCTGTAGGGCTAGCCCAAAACCCAGCGGGCTAGCTCATTTGACATCCCTAGGTGCAGGTGTATTAACCAGGGTCACATTGATCATATCTTTTGCGACGCTGAGCAGTGTGCGATTCAATATGGACCGATCCATGAGATCTTTCTGTGATGCCTGGGCAATAATAAATTGGGCCAATGATAGTTCAATCCTCTGAGTAGCTTGCAGCAGTGTGTTAATAGTTTGCTCTAATGAAGTGACTTTTGCTGTCATTAGTGATAGCTCATTAGCAAGCCGCTCAATGGCTTTTGAGTTGAACTCATAAACATCCACTGACCTCCTGAACGCTGTAGTGTCACGTATGACTACTGGAGCTTCATCGCCAAACAGACTGGAAAAAGGAGGCATTGTGTGATACAGGACAACGCAAGCCAAAAAAAGATAATCAAAAGAGCTTTGAATTGAAAATAAACTTAAGAGGGTTCATATATCTCTCTGTACCTAACAGAAAGAGGCCGGATATATATACAAAACAAAAGTAATTAGCGAAATAAATGACAGAAATAAATATAACAAGGCTCAAGACAGAAACATTAAATATAAAAGAAAGTTCCAATGCATGCTTGTTCATCTCCCCGAAGAATTTATATTTGCTGTCCTTCATCTTTTCTCTGTGCGCTTCCTTCCTTGCACGTTTGCCTCATGCTCCAACTCTTGATTTGATGGCATAAATAAAATACCCTAATTCACTAGGATAATAAAAAGTTATAAATTGACTCAAATACATAGAGATCTAATAAACTACACACAATAAAAAATGTAATTGAAACTAAAATTAATCAGTTCTACCAATTACTTAGTCAAGTAAATTTTTTTTTTAATTAAATTATTTTTTACTAGTTGTTCATTTTATTCATATATGATACCAAAGACAAAGGAAGACTTCGGCTCTGTTTGGCAAACCTAGCTGAAAAGCTATAAGCTAAGAGCTTAAAAGGAGCTGAAAGCTGAAAAGCTATAACTCCTATAAACTTGGAGCTGAAAACTGAAAAGTTGTTAAGCTAGTTGTTATGATGGAAAGTGTTTAGTAAAATTAGCTTTTTGATAAGCTGATAAATGTAAAAAGACTATAAAGGACATCTTCATAAAATTTAAATTAGTTTGTTTACATATTAAAATTTAACATTTTGTCTTTCAAAAAAAATTAAAATTTTAAAATAAAACTATTAGCATAATCATGATCAAGAATCTCATAATGAAGTAGCAATATTATTACAAATTTCATAATAATAATAATAATAATAATAATAATAATAATAATAATAATAATATTTGCAGTGAAAGTTGCGGATAAAGGAGAAGAGAAAATGGTTTTAATTGGGAAGGGTAAATTATGCCATTTCTTTAAAATAATAAGGATAAAGATGAAAAAAAAATTAGGAAGCTAGGATCTTATTTTGGGAACATTACCAAACAGAGCTTATAGCTTATAGCTCCTAGCTTAAAATAAGAGCTTATTTTGAAACGTTACCTTAGGTAGCGTTTCAAAATAAGCTGCTAGCTTCCTATTTTATTTTTATTTTTTTTTCATATTTATCCTTATTATTTTAAAAAAATGACATAATTTACCCTTCCTAATTAAACCCTTTTTCTCTTCTCCTTAATTTATCCGCAACTTTCACTGCAAATATTATTATTATTATTATTATTATTATTATTATTATTATTATTATTAGTATTATGAGATTTGCAAAAATATTGCTACTTCATTATGAGATGCTAGATCATGATTATGCTAATAGTTTTATTTTAAAATGTTAATTTTTTTTAAAGACAAAATGTTAAATTTTAATATGTAAACAAAATAATTTAAATTTTATGAAGATGTCCTTTTTGATCTTTTTACATTTATCAGCTTATCAAAAAGTTAATTTTACCAAACACTTCCAATCATAACAGCTAGCTTAACAGCTCTTCAGTTTTCAGCTCCGAACTTATAGCTTTTCAGCTCATTTTCAGCTTTCAACTCCTAGTTTATAGCTTTTCAGCTACGTTTGCCAAACAGAGCCTTCATCTCTAGCACCGGAGATGATGAAGAGAAGTATTTTTCTATAGCCCAAGACGAATAGAAGTTTTCGTCTTCTACGAGAGACGAAGAAAAGCTCTTCCTCTCTAGATGTAGACAAAGAAAAGTCTTCATCTCTAATTAGAGATAAAGAAACGCTCTTTGTCTTCTATCAGAGAGAGACTGATATCTCTTTGTCTCCGGTGGAAGACGAATAGAACCCTCGTCTCCAGCACCTGAGACCAAGTGAACATGTTTTTTTTTAAATATTTATTTTTTGTTTAATTTTTTAAAAATAAAAAGAGTTCAACTCAATTTATTATTTTTTAAAAAATAAACAAATTAATTTTTAAAATTTTAAATCATGTCAATGATTTTACCAATAAGATCGAACAAATTAGTTCGGTTGCACCGATGTGACTTATTCGAGGGGTTACTTGCACTTTTGAAAGTTGAATGGTCAAATTACATTTTTGTGTATACTTAAATAGCTATTTTGAATCAAAAAATTTATAAGAATATAACAAATTGAATTAAATTAACTTATGATAAGCTTATAGAATTAAATAAATAAAATATAATTTGACAAAATTTATTGGGCAACAAAAGAGTTAATTCTAATGAAGATCCATCGTTTTTCGGGGTAATTTCACATTTGGTCTTAAATTATCATTTTTGCCTTCAGCCATTCTAAACTTTTAATTTTTAGACAATTTTGATCCTTTATGGATCTTTTCCGACCAAGCTCCATTTTGGGTAAGAGTAAAACACTTCAATCAACTTATTTTATTCTCCATAAAACATTTTTTACCATATTAATGGGATAAAACCCATAATTTCTTCGATCAACCTGAAAGCTCACCATCATCAACTATGTCGATGATGATTTCCCAATAATGTGTGTCCAAAAATTAAAAACCTGAAATGACTAAAGACAAAAATGATAATTTGAGACTAAATGTGAAATTGCCACTAAAGATGAGTGATCCGACCTCTACTGAAATTAACTTGACAACAAAATAATCCCAAAAAAAAAAACTTGACAACAAAATATAAAGGGTCAAATTAATATTTTACCCTTAATTCATTTTTCTTTTGCAAATTTAATTAAAGGTATTACAATAGTAGGAGGACGTGTTTGTCCATAAAAATAAGGTGAACACTATGTACAACTCTCATAACACAAGAAAAATGGACAAAAATCATCAATGGTATAATCTTAATTCACATATATGAGTTTTAGATATTCTTTTGAACCTCAAATTTTCTTTTTAAAAAAATCTAGTATAATATTAGTATATTACATGAGTTCAAAATTCAAAAAAAAAAAAAAAATTCAAAAAAAATAGAGAGAGAGAGAGAGAAATAACACAAAGCATAGCTTTTATTAATCATTTTAATATAATCTTCTTCTTCTCTTCCAATGTGTTTTTATAAATTAATCAGTTAGTATGTGTTCTTAATATTTAATTAAGACATGCATTTGCTAGTTATTAGATTTTATTTTTAAATTTTGTTAAAATTATTTATACATTGAATATATTAGTTAAAAATAATAATGATTATGGACAAAATAGTTCGCGATATTTACTTATATTTTGTAGATAATTCTTTCATGAAGAATCACAAAAAGGAAATTCAAAATAACGTACAATGCATGTATAATGATTTGATAGTGAGTTAAAGAGTAACATCATACTACAAAATTCATACTCTTAAGATATAAAATTTCATATTACAAAACACAAAAACTCACAACACAAAATACATACACTTGTTATATATTTACTTATTTTTCAAATTTGATTTAGATAGAAAATTTATGCTCTATAGACAAAATTTTACAACACAAGATATAAACTCACCTAACATAAGACACA